AACATGAAAAACCGTAGAGCACTATAGGTATCGTTGAACACTATGGTGCTTTTCGTATCGTAATTTGAACCTCTAAATTAAGAAACTGAAGTCTGTAATTAAGCATCGACTAGGACAGCTAAAGTAAGTAATTAATTAATTTTTATACATGGTCGCTCATATTCTTCTTTTGAATTGTTTTGCGTACAGAGATAATAAAATAGTTTCTTTAGAAATGACTGTCAATTAATTGTTTATTCTATGTATATCCTTACATGTACTGAGTGATAACCACTTTTGCGATTTAAATAAGTTAACTGTTCGATTCAATGCTAGGAGTTGTAGTTTTACATTTTCTTTTACATTAAGACCACTATTTTTTTTGTTGAACAATTTAATTTCGCTCACTAGTTTTAATTAACGTTGTATTCTAGAGAATTAGCACTCCTCTAAGTCTGAAACGTCTAAAGTGACATAAAATGGCCATGTCTCTACCTTCTTATGTGTAACAACTTAACATAAGTGTAGGTACTTATCTAAATACTTTTGCACAAAATGTATTCATTTACATATGTTATTAAAAGGAGCTCGTGGCTAAGTGGTAACCGAAAAAGTAACACATTGTAAAGTTAGGCAGTCCTAGCCTGGTCAGTCTATGGATGGGTGACCATTTCTTCTCGCTTAACAGAAATAGTTTGCTGTTCAATGGATACCTAATATTGCCTAAAGACAAAAATGTTCCTATCACACATAATATATTTGGAAAGAGGACACGTAGACGGGAGTACACTCCATACAATTTTTATAGATAGAAAAGATAGAATTGTTTTCAAAAAAAGACAATTCCTGCATTAGGAGTATATCCTGTGTCGCGGGGGTCTTTACAAACATACATGATAAGGACACAAAGGTACATTGATGTCGCAAAGTAATAATTAAATAAAATATATATGGCGCTTAACAGTTTTAACTGAACTACTCCGTTAAACCTATATTTCGTCTATGATATAGGCAATCCCGCTAAATAAAAAGGAAAAACATCGGCTAAGTTTTTAAAAATATTTTTAAATAATAAGGGTTCTTTGCACGGATGGCGTCGTAGTATACCCCCATATGGAACAACACTTTGTGTGATCCACCAATTGTTCCGAATCTGATTGTTCTTTGTGTCCGTTTTGATCTATGTTTGTAAAGTCCCCCGCGATACAGGAATATATTCCTAATGCTGGAGTTGACTTTTAGAAAAAAAAAGGTCTCGTGGCTAAGTGGTGACCGAGTAGGTTAACACATTGCAAGGATAAGTAATCCTAGCCACTAGGTTAGTGTACGGATTGGTGACCATTCTTAACACATTTAGACTCGGAGAACAAGTCAAGCCGTCGGACCCGGTTGTAATACAATCATCTGTGGCAGTTGTTTCAGGCAGTTGGAGACCCTTAAAAGTCCAATAACAGTCTTTCTACAGAATTCGCATAATACTTGGGTCGTGGAGGTCTGATGGCAGTCGAGCTTAGAAATTGAAGTTCAACCGTATCGTAGTAGACTTAAAACCAATCCCAACCTGGTTTAGGAAAAAAAAGGTCGGAGTAAGAATTTTTTTTGTTACTAGGGTCAAAAACTTAGACTTTGCTCTTGTGTACAGTATATAGAAATTCTGTCCAGGTCTCCATGGGGAATGCCTAAACACTACAGACAGTTTCTTGAGACATCTTTACATGTATCATACTATAAATTATGTATTAAACATAAAATATAAATCATGTATGTTCTTCATGTATATACAGGTATTTCTTTAATTTCGACTTATTCTTCAATCAGTCACTTAATCGCCATAAGTACTTCTTGAAAACGCAGATCTCAGACCAAAAATAATAATTACACTTTTATAATTTTTATTCCAGTATTTAGAGGCCAGCTTTTTACTATTACTTATTACGTAGTTTATCAAAGACTAATTAGGTTCAAGTAATTTAACTTTATACTTTTTTTTTCTGAAAGCTAGCGTTCTTAATTAAAAAACTTTTATTCTACATCAGAATTCCTTGAAAAAAAAAAGCAGACAAATGCGAGATTGACTCTGACTCGCCCATTGATGGTTCCGTAACCAAACAAAATTGTATTTTAACAATTTATCCATCTTGGGATTTTTTGAAGTGAAAACTTCTCTAAGGCATTTACGAAGAACAAACAAAAGAATGTATTTTATGGTTTAACAAAAAACACATTTTTTGAGATGTATGGATTTTTTAAGAATCAATAGCGTAGCACGTAGAGCGTAAGGAGTAGGTACTTACGCTCTTTTCTTTAAGGTTTTGAGATCGTATTGGGTTTAATTTAAAATAATGTTTCAAGACTCATGTGAATATAATGATCATGTAATACTCGTACCTACACGTAGCTATATACACATATACAAACCTATCATCTACTACACCTACATATGTACCTGTATAAAAAATACATACATTTATATAGATAATCAATTTTACGTTAAAAAATCATGAGCAAATTGATTCTGCCAGTTGTTTGACCGGATACTGCTTACTGTCCATGTGGTGACGGATTAAGAATACAGAGTGTCACTATCCCTATTCGTCCCGTGGGTGTCGTAAAAGACGAGCTGCGTGTTTTTAAACTACGCAGCACAATAACACTGCAAAACCTCATTTCTGAAGAAAGTCCTATGTCCATCAGTGGACTAATAAAGGCTGTTGATGATACTGTTTTACTTTAAAAGAATAAGTGTTCGTTGCCATCTTAATTTCGAATGAAAGCGCATTCCAAAGAGGAACGGACTGAACGTAAAATGATGAGACGAACGAACGAACGACAACGAACTGAGATGAGATGCATGCGAGGGACAAAGAAGAAGAAGGTTTTCTGAAGACCGAAGGTTTGTATCGTGATTACTACATAAGAGTTGGAAGTAGGAAGCCAGGTACGTTGGCGAAGATGGGTTATTTCTAATAGTGAATAAGACAATGAGAACGCGTAATTTTACGACGTAATTGAATGCGTAACCAGATAAGCTGCGAACGGAAAGAGGACACATGATCATCTTTACGGAGGTTAAATATGTGTCGAATGCAGTCATTAAGAAGACAGTCCAACTTATCGACAAGATATAAATATGGCTATGGTTGTTAATCACTCTTTCTTTCTTTCTTTCTTTAAAAAGACAACTCCCGCACTAGGAATAAATCCTGTGTCGCGGGGGACTTTACAAACAATGTCCGTTTCATGTAAACGGACACAAATAACACCCAGACTCAGAACAACAATTTGTGAATCACAAAAAGTGTCGTTCCATGTGGGGATCGGACCCACAACACTCAGCGTAGTAGTGAGCGGCGTGGCGACCGCTTAAACCACTACGCCACCCGTGCAGTCAAACTCTGCATACTAATAAATCTTTAGAAGAATAATATTAATTAAACTCGTAAGTTTTTTTCCTTTCTTTGTTATGTAAATGTTATAATATATGTTATGTTATTTTTATTCTCGGTTACCCCTCGAATATTGTTATTACTTAAATCTGTAGTACTCGTTAGTTTTTTGTATAACTTCTTTAATTGGAACGCCCACGTCTGAGATATTAATTTAGCTACTGCCTCTTTATACAATATTATTAAAATTTTATAATGAATTTCGTTAAAAATTAAGGTAGTTTCAATTATTAAACAAATATGCCTCAGTTATTTTTAGTATTTTAAGCGAAATTTAAAAGGGTCATAATTTTCAGCAATCATTTTATTAGTTATTTTAATTAAATTATTTAATAGGGTCATAAAATACGTTGTTAGATAATTTTGCATAAGAAACACTAACAAAAACCCTTAACACACTTCAATTTTTCACTAAGTCATACCTGCTTAAGTACTTTACAAGTTCTAATAATAAACCAACTGTTATTAAATTTTATACATTGAATTCGTAAATTTGAACTCTTTGAATTTAAAAAAAAGGAAAGTTTTTTTTTTAATTACTATTAATAACTTCAAAGGAAGTCCTCCTTTGAAATGTCCGATATTTCGAATAGATTGCAATGGATGTGGCTACAGGCTGACTAAAGAAAAATAATAGAAATATATTATATAAAGTACTTTAATATGTGCAACACTAAGTACGAGTATTACAAATCATCCGTGTCCGTGTGGTGACGGATTAAGAATACATAGTGTAACCACCCCTATTTATCCCGTGGGTGTCGTAAGAGCCGAATAAGAGAGAAAACTACGCAGAACAACAGCACTGCAGAGAGAAGGAAAACTTGAGATAAACCCTAAGCCAACCAGGCCAGGCCAAAACCTCCTTTCTAAGAAGAGGCTTATGTCTAGCAGTTAAGTGGCTGTTGATGATGATGATGTATTACAAATCAAAAAACAGAAAAGTCAAAGCAAAAACGTATAGGTCCCATTGTACCACTGTTTTTTTTTTGTTGTAATCTATTACTCTGTGCTTACTATTCATGGTGTACAATAAGGACCACCTATTTACTCGTATATGTAGAAGTTTTATGTATATGTTGCAGGCTCTGTTTTTGCAATTATAATTTTACCATGGGACCATACTTTGGATATCGGACTAAAAAAAGTCATATACATACAACTTTTGACTACATAATATATTTTCAGCAATAAGTTAATCATTTCTTCTGTATTTATTACTTACTTAAAATAAAACAGCCAACCAATGTGTTTTTTTCGGCTTCTTGTTTTTAAGACCAGTGCCAATAGATTTAACATTAATGCGAATATTTTAATGTGAATGGGATCCAAAGCCGGGATCTTCGATATGGTAGTTACCGCGATGCCGAAAGTGATAATTTTTAATTCTTAATATTTTTATTGTATTAAAGTTAATTCCATTGTTTGTGATGCTTACGAAGGTCTCAAAACATACTCGTATGTTTCTACTGTATGGAATTTGGGAAATTTGTTTAAAAACTAAATTACAATAGTTACATTACATTTAATTTATCACAGACATAATTTTGAATTAATGACACAATATTTTATAATTTACCAACCATTATTGTAACCATTTCTATAACCACCACTGTTGTAACCACCGTTGCTGTATCCACCATTATTGTAACCACCGTTGCTGTATACACCATTAAGGTAGCCACCATTGCTATAATCAGCGTTGTTGTATCCTCTGTTGCTGTATCTACCATTGAGGTAACCACCATTGAGGTAACCACCATTGAGGTAACCACCATTGCTGTAACCACCATTGTTGTAACCACTGAGGCTGTAGCCATTGTTGTTGTATCCGTTGCCGAGATTATTATAAGCATTGATGCCATTAGCGATGTAACCATTCAAAGCACCATTGTAACCTCTGTAGCCACGGGAATATCCACCGGAGTAGCCGACATTGTTGGCCACTACAGATACTGAGGTGTGTAAGCGAGGAATGCCATGGGAACCATAACTGCCGAATCCACTAGAATATCCTCTAGAGTTTATGTTGTATCTACCGTTTGCGCCATTCCCAGTATTATAACCATCGTAACTTGAAACTCCACTAGCGAGGGCTCCAGCATGAGCTATTCCAAAGAGACACACGGCGACAGCGAAAATCTGTACAAACTAAGAAATACATGTTATTTTTAATAAATAAAATGTATATACGAACTGTATTAAAATTAGGCTGTACGTAATTTCTCATAATAAAACTTACTTTAGTGAACATTTTGGTATTATTCTTTCCAACGTAATGAGTTAAATAATTTTGAAGTAGTGGACCACTACTTTATATATTAAAGAAGTAGGAAATGAATTTTTATTTTTACAAAGTTCTCATAAATATTGAGAAAATCGGAGCGTGACGTTAATTAAATTCATACTTAGATGCTGTATTAACCAACACACTAAAAAAAATACTTTTTACATCGTCCTCTACTCTTAGGTATACCGTTAACTTCCAAGTCAAAATTGTCACGCTATATTTCGGTGATCATTTCACGTCATACAATCATTTGAGCTACTCGCATCGCGTTCTAGTGAGAATCATTTAGGATTTATGTATCCTTATAGGATTTGTTAAAGGTGTCTGTGCCCTCCTGTCACCCATCTCCACTTCATCCAGTCTTGTGCTCTCTCAACTGTGAACAACAAATGCAATTTTTGATACAGAAAATAAAATCATATACACATAATAGTCGTTTTAATCCTTGAGAATAATGCCTTATTTAAACACTTTTTTTTTCTTAGCCACCTTTAAAGTAGACATTGTATTATGTTTCTTATATAATTATGTATATTGTTACATTTTCTTATTTTTTAAATTGAGATTTTTCTATATTACACGTCCCTTCCTCTCTAGTCGAAATCGAATTAAACAAGTAATTTACTTTGATGAATACTTCGTCAAAGTCATTAGTTTAATGACTATTCATTAACATGCTTATAGTAAATAATTGTGTTCAAATATATTGTAGCTTATATCTATAGATGGGATAATGATCGCTGGAGCCGACATGTGTTAGAGTAGTGTTGGGCACAATGCGCCACGATGGACCAATGACTTCATATACTTTGAATAAAATCTGTTACATTTGCAAAAATAACTTAAATAATAAATAAATTTAAAAGAACATGAACCCGCCTACGTCAAAATCACACGCTCTGAAAAATATGAAACAAGAATATATTGTTGTCTGACATTTTGAATTAGATATGAACATGGTGATGCTCAGAGCATAGTTGCAATTACTTATTTAAGTAGACAATTACTCAAATGAAAGTGTTAGTTTCAGCGAATGTTTTTAGACTAAATCGTACCGCGTAAATCAATTAGAAGAAAGAAAGCTATGAATATCTATGTAATTCAGTGACAGCTGTGTCAATTCCAATTCTTTTAAAACGAATGCACAGGTACAACAGATATATGCAACAATAGCTGCTATTTAAAAGAAACATAAATATAAAGTGCGGAAATCCCCTCGGATACCACCCACCGGTGGCTATGTTGGACTCGAACCGACTAAAAAGCGCACGCCGCACGGCCTGCTTCTGCTAGGGTGACAGATAGCGTCAACAGTCACCCCCAGGCCTGCGCTTATGGAGGACGTAGGTCGTTCTATGACCTCCGTCGCCTGAGCTGCCTGCGGTGATGATGGGATCCTAGAGAAATCGAGGGAAACCCTCAAATTTTATTTGTTTATTTATTTTATTTAAAACTTAATGCACATGATGTACAAAGGTGAACCAGAAGCCATTACGCAAAAAAATAAAAAAATAAAAAAAAAAATATATATATATATATATATATATATTATGCAGTAGGTTTGAAATAAAATATTAAATTTAACATAATTGAAGTCCACAGATATACACAATATCTATAACACACATACATGCATAAATTTAATAAAATATATAAATACTCAATCGGGTACTAGCGTTGTGACTGTTCTGCTAATTCACTCCGAAGAAGATCGCGCACTTTTCTTTTGAATGCAACTCGGTTCGTGGACATCCTGAATTCGGCAGAGAGATCATTCCAGAAAAAAAAAGGGGGCATAGAAAAAACATACTGTTGGTTGACTGAAGATTTTGGTCGTGATTGGAGCATAAGAAACGGAAGTGGGTTACGAGCTATTCAGGTAACTTAACGGTAAGGAATTAGTTATAGCGGGAAGGAAGTTCTTCAAAGGATATGCTCGGAGACATGTGGTGACTTTCTGGCCGACGTGTGTAACCTGTGCCCGCCAGTCAAGTGTCGAGTCGATATATAACCCCAGGTTCTTTACCGCTGCACTAAAAGGTATAGTCACATTGTTGTAGACAACTGGTGGGATGACCGCCACATCCAACCTACATATCACTTAACATTTGGTTGGATTTACCAACAAACCAAACCTCGTTCACCAGCTCTTTATAAAGTCGAAGTCTTTGTTGACGGTGGCGTATGTAATGTCCTCAACTATAATAAGTACCCTACAAGAAAACTATAATAAGTAACCTCAATATAACAGGTAACATTATAATAGCAATAGTCCCTTCAAGTCAGTTTGAAGTCGGTGCCAAGCGCGATGCACTATAAGCAATAGTGGTCTATGTCAGCTTTATATTAGCACAATAAAAAATGAAGAATTCAATATAATTATAATGAAACATCGCAGTTTTTGTTAATTAATGAAGACTAACCAGATCAATTACGTGCGCAAACTTATCAACTACTTAATAAAGCATTCAAAATAATAATATCATTGGAGATGTGCGTAACCCACTTTAGCTCGTTCAGCATGCTTTGCGCAGCATGATGACTGTTGCAGCTGCTGCTTTTCGTTCTACCAAGCCTATCAAGCATCTATTTGGCTTGGAACCGACTTCAAACAGACTGGAAGGGACTATTGCTATTATAATGTTACCTGTTATATTGATGGTACTTATTATAGTTTTTTTACTTACATTTGTAATTATTTTTAATTTTTAGTGCTCTTTGTCAGTATTGTTTGAAGTCGGTTCAACTTTTTATTTAAAAGGATTTATTATGATTAGTTATATCGAGGAATGAATTTTATTTATAGAGTGTTTTTTTTTACAATCTAGCCGATTTATTTAAATGTTGGAAATAGAATATTTATAGTTCTGAAATTGCAAAATAGTATTTAAACTGTACTATCATTTTTACAATACTCACAAAAGTTAAGTTAAAAAATTTGCCAGCTATGGTATGTTGAAAAGTGAAAGAGTTAGGCATACAAAAAAGATTTATCGTGCCCTATATACTCAAAATAGTTTTATTGATTTGATCTAACTTTTAGAATTTCAAATACCTGCATTTTATTTAATATTTTTACTGAGCGGGATTTAAACACGAGATCGACCCTGGCAGTCGAGTGCGATTGAGCGGTACCCCGGTATTTTATTGTTATTCTATTAATTTGAACTGTGTTTGCTTGTGTTATTTGTAAACCAGACTCAAAACAACGAGTTTGTATTGCTTATGGATTAAATAATGGATCTGTTTAAAAAACCTGGATGATTTGTTTGAATTATATTTTTTTCAGTTTTATAACATTTGATTTATTACAAACATAATTTTGTAATAAAGACACATAAATTGATAAATCACCATCCGTTATTGTATCCACCATTGCTGGAGCCAGCATTGTTATAACCACCATTGCTGGAGCCGGCATTGTTATAACCACCATTGTAGCCAGCGTTGTGATAACCACCATTGCTGTAACCACCGTTGTTGTAACCACCATTGCTGAAACCACCGTTGTTGTTACCACCATTGCTGTAACCACCGTTGTTGTAACCACCATTGCTGTAACCACCATTGTTATCACCACCATTGTTGTAACCACCATTGTTGTAACCACCACTGCTGTATCCGTGGCTAAGGCTATTGTAATTATTTAAAGCGCCACTGTAACCTCCAAGAGCACCGGAAGATCCACCGTATCCACTTGAGTATCCGCCATTTCCACCGTGTCCGCCATTCTGGGAACTATAACCGCCGTAATTCGAAACTCCACCATGAAGAGCTCCAGCGCGAGCTAATCCGAAAAGGCACACGGTGACGACAAAGATCTGAAGAAAGTGAGAAAAAAATAAAATTAATGAAGTACATTTGTTCGAGGGAGCTATGGCATTTCATAATTTGCCACAATATGAACTTACTTTGGGAAACATTTTGGTATTTTTCCTTCGAATGTGACGAGTGGAATGATTTTGATTTGATCATTTCGTGCTTTTATATTAAAACAGAGGGCAATAAATTTAGTTTTCTCGTACAAGGCTCTCGTAAATTTAGAGAAAATCGGAGCGTGACGTTAATATAATTAAGTTTACCTTTAAATGCTTTGCAAACACACTGTTGAATAAAGAGGTCATTACAAACTTTTGATCATTGTGTTAAATGTATATTATAATTATATTTGTAGATAACATTTCACCTAAAGATTCACCTAAGGCATTGAATTTATTGTGTTAAGAAAATCGCTTTGGCATTATGTAAACAACAAATCGTTAAGTATACCTATAATATTATTTAGAAGTAATTTAGTAATCGAAATATTTTTATTTAATATTTGATTTAGATCAAGCGGTCTTAGGCTTCCCGCATCCTGCGACCTTCACCATCGGTCATCGGATCATATGTACAAACATCCTGTAAGCGGTTTCCACTCGAGAACTTTTAAACCACATCGGACATTTTTTTTTTTCCGAGAAATGATGCCCATCCACTGCCACTTAAGTTTTTCTCCTCAGGACTGGTTATTGTGGCAAACCTCATGTGCAAAAGCGGATGTCTTACGGCTTAGATGATGATGATGGAGATTTACTTATTTATTTCGCTTCTTGCTCTTGAATGACAGATAATTTTAGTAGGTAGGAGATGACTAGGGGTGGTGACACTCCGTATTCTTAATTGATAAGGTTTTATAACGTCCATTTTCAATGTAAAGTAATTTAGCAACTCAATAGGTGCATGAAGTATACATACTCGTAGAATCAAAATTACGGTCAGGAGTTCAAACATGCAGCGTTCAACTAAGAAACTTATTTAACTTAGATAAGTTTCGCTAGCTTGTCGAGAAATATAATTAACATGAACAACTATTCAGAAATTGATCATATAGTTCTGGGATTTTCAAAGCATCTCGAGAGGAATTCTTACCTTAGTTATGCCTTCGATTTTTTGGACTGCTTTTCAAAGGGAGGGATGCGATATCCAAAAATCATTCTTAGTGACTGCTTGGAATATTAGAAGCATCAGCTACCACTATTTCAAGTTTGTAGTTTAAGTGTATAGTAAATTTTAATGACATGTATAGATTATGTTACCATATTGCAAAGTTTAGCAATCCTATTCAGGTCAGTCTATGGATGGGTGACCATTCTTAACACATTGAAACACCTCCGTGCCTTGGGGAGCACCGTCGGTCCTGGTTGCTATACGAACATATATTATGTGGCAATCGTTACCGTTAGCTGGAGCCGTAAAAAGTCCTACAACAGTTTTCCTACAGAACTTAGATATCGCCTAGTACTTGGGTTGACGAGGTATGATAGCAGTGCCTCAATTCTGCTATTTTATGTTCACGCCAAGCCACTGTCATACCACTGACACGCTATTGAGAGTAAAAATATCGGTAGTCTACACTAACTCAATGTCTTTACAGTAGCGATGGAATGGCAGTGGCTCATCAGTGGCGATAACAAAAAATAACAGAATTGAGGCCCAGTTGCTTTGTGTAAAATATCGAAGTTCAGCCATATCGTAGTAGACTTAAAGTCGACCTCAACCTTTTTTAGAAAAAAAGGTTCTGAGGAAATTTGGATTATGCTAATGTCTTTCCTGTAACACTGATTGTCACCTTACCATATCACCTGACTAATCCTTTGATACAAACAAAATTTTTGATAATATAGGTTACCATTTATTTCCGCCGACTTGTAAAAGAAGACCCTTTTTACACCTACGAGTATTTGCTGTTTCAATTATCCTTCTTATTTAGAAAGGATAGTGGTGTTTAAATTTTGAGTCCAATGGGGTCACCAATGTTTAAATTACTCCTTCTTTTACATACTAACTAAAATTATTTGTTACGCCATAATTTTGATTATTTAATTTAGTTATATTATATTATGATGAAATAGTAAAAGTTGCTACACTGTATAAAACCACAATATCATTATAAGGAAAATAAAAATAATGTACACATTATGACAATTAAATATGATTTAATGTTTTTGTTATAAAATGTTACATGTTACTCAACTAATGTTTTTATTTTTTTTAAACCGTACATCAATTATAATATTATCATACTATTTAATCTTATACAAATAAAAATGAATCGCTGAAATGTACTCGTATGTACGTGAATCGTTTCTGAACGACTGCACCCAATTGGATAAATTTTTTTTGTTCGTTATTGTCTCGTCAAAGTTTAAAAAAAAAAAAAACATACAGATTAACAAAAACAATTGGATTGAATTAAATTAGATTCTAATCTATCTATATATATATATAAGAGATTTCCACGTATATAGTCACTCATCACGATATCCCTGGAACCATTAGAGCTTGACTTGAAATTTGGTAGGAATATTCTTTTCACTGAGTAGAGGTCAACTAAGAACGGATTTTAAGAAATTAAAATAATAATAATAATAATGTAAATAGCAAAACAACGTTTGCAGGGTCAGCTAGTTGATTATAATTCAAGTTTTAATGGTTAGCATTAAGAAATAACCAAAATAATTATGCATCTGTCCACTCGCACGCTATTATGTCCCATAAAACACATTGTCATCTTAAGGTCACCTGCCTGTACTCTGTTTATTCCTATTCGATACAAACGTTATCAACGGTTATTTTAGCGCATGTTCATAACGCCCCATCTTAGCGACAGTCATCGTAATCATTATGGATTGTTTCAACGAGGCCCCCACCGTCAACCTACTGTTGGCAAAACATGCATTTCTCCGATAGGTGTTCAACGGCCTGCTGATGTATAATTTTGGGGTATGTGTGACCTAATGTCATGGGGAGCAGGCCTGGGCTCGAAGGCAACCAAGACAACTCAAACCAAACTCTCTTTATTTCATTTTTTTTTAAATAGTTTGAAATCGTCTTTTATATAGACTCTTAAGTCACAGATCAACATACACAATAGCAACAATCTCTGTTTTGTCAAATAGAATAGCAAATAAATTTAATAAAAATTAGACTTATACAAAATCTATGTCATTATGCCTGTGCCGATCTACAACCGCCCGTTTCCAAGGGGTTGAGCCTTATGAGAAGAAAGGGCAAACAAACTTATGGCCACTCTTGCAATTCACAGATAGATACAATGGCATTATTAAATATACCACAACATTGTTTTGATGTGTGCCAGTATGTCCGTTATTAAGGACTAAAAGGTAAAAAGACAATGAAGAGAAAACAAGAATGAAGAAAAAAAAAGGAATTAAAGAGAAAATGAAGTGAAACAAAAACATAACAAAAATAATAATAATAAAAAACACACTAGCCCATTTTACGATAATTGATGTTGACACGCGTAAAATTACATTGCCACCATTGATCACCAGCTGCATAAATAACCTAAAAAACGACAATACCGCAGGACGGGATGCTACTCGTAATTCAGGAACTTTTCTTAAGCGTTTTCTACTATATTTAGCACCACCTATAACTTACTTGTTTAACCTGATACTCACCACGGGAGCTTTCCCTAAGGATTTTAAGCTCGCTGAAGTTATACCAATTTTTAAGAGTGGTGACAGAGGCTGTAAAAACTTTTTTTTTAGTTTATTGTATGAAACCTTATATTCCATGATTAAAAGGTGTAAGTAAAACCTGTTACCCTATTTGGTTTCCATCTACATTGATGCACATATTTAAAAATAAAAAAGAAAGTGTGGTGTCGTGGGACACCCGATAGGAACGAAGTTGTGACGATCGCGTAAAACTGATTCGACACGATTTTAATTACAACGCCATGTATGAAAGCGGCTATTACCTACATATTTTTCAGTTGGTTTATAATTAAAACAATTTATACATTGGTAAAATCTCCTTGAGAAATGATTTCCTATCTATTAGATAGATGGCGCTGAATGACTGACATAAAAAGTGTCGTTACAACTTTTCGTGAGATTTTTTCCGTCTAGCCCCCTTTCACAACGCGCGATAAGGAACTTCGTTCCAAAAACACAGAGTTGAATGAAGTCGAAAGTATATCAAAATCCTATCAAAAGCATAAATATCAAATGGGAGCTAAGTTCAATATTAAGAAAAAGCGTCGTTGTCGACTTCGCCGACAAGAATTTAGATCTCTATGGGCACCAAGTTCTATGTAGAAAATAATAAAATGTCAGTTACAAGAAGATTCCACATTGTAAAATAAATTTATCAAACAATTACGTGTTTCTTGGTGCTACCACAATATATTCTACTTAATAGGTAATAAAAATTCTTTAAATTTAACAGACGATTATTAACAAAATGCAATTATTTTACTTGGGATGTAATTCAAGCTCAAAATCTTACTTGGCTAGTTTCACGTATAGGCTAAATTTTATTTGTCTAATGAACTTATCGTCATTAAGTCATACGCAAGTTAGTGTACTTCCTGTTTCTACTGTACTTACACTGTTAGGTTAATATGATAAAACAAACAAACTAGCCAAATTTTGAGCTTGAATTCTATCCCAAGTGCTATACAACCGTCGATTACGCCGGCGATGAATTGGAATTTGGAACAATGAGCACTATTTGTCAGTATTGCAATGCTTTGAGGTTTCGACTCGAACCGCCAGGATTATGTTGTGCCAAAGGAAAGCCCAATTACCACAACTGTTTCACAACAAAGTACTTTCAGGGCAAGAACCTTTATCAAAGCATTTCTTGCAGAATATTCAAAATTCATTCCAAATGACATTATTTGGTGTAAATATAGTTGAAGAGCGTGGTTTAAATCCAAATTTTAAGGTGTTTGTGATGTAACACACATTATATACATTCATTGCAACATAAACCTACAAATATGAAAATTCTATTGAGGTTCATAAATGAAGATTTCTTTGAATATTTTTTTTTGTTCAATATTACAGATTCAAGGACAAATTTACCACTGCGCAGCTGTTGCCATCAGTTGATGATGATTACAAATTTC